CAGGCACTCAGAAGGTGAGATATGTCTCCCAGCATAGAGATGTACTCTGCTGTAATCTCTTTGTCTACAAGATACACTTAGATGGATGGTTACAGGAGAGAGAGGCTGTGTTTCAGTCCCACTCTTCAGTCTGCAAACCCACTACCATACTTTACAGAGCTTCGTATAGAGTTAGTGTAGAGGTGTGGATCTTTATTTGCAAGTTTTAATCTTTTTTAACCCATAGTTTTGCTTTGATTCTCTTTCAATACCATACTCACCTGCCATTTGTGCATTAAAAGTGCCTTCTCTGCATGCTGGCTGTGATTCCTATCTGACCAGATGTAAGATATGAGATATCAAAAGATGCGTTCCACACCGAAGCAGAAGCTGATGAAATGCCTTCATACAAGGTCCAAAGGTTTATTGGTGTCGGGGCTACCATACCAAAACAAAACATCAGCTTGTGGAAACAGAAGAAATTCTGTGATGAAAAGTATCTTTGGAAGACGCCCACTTGATTGAAGCACCGATTGACGAAGCGTCATTGTTAGCATCGCTGAAGGGAAAGCACACCTTTCAGCTTGTTGGCCAGTATTGTTTTGTAAGAATTGCACAGATGTCATTTACTACTGGCTGAGAGCCAATCACAGACCAACTGCAGATGTGGTCGGGCCAATCCAATGTCGCAATGCAGATGCATGTTCTGCATGCATGTGCATCTCAGTTAACGTTCATGTGGGGTTTTTTCTTATCCAAATAAGACGTTGGTTATGTCAGGTGTACCCAAATACTTAAATGCCACTACAAATATTACCTAAATATTGTTGTTCTAATATGTGACTCTGTCTTATTCAACAGTGGAAGTCCAGACCCATAAGCCATTCAAACCATTTGCCACACAGTCACAGTGCCATCCTCCCTCTGTTCAAACACTTTCCCCATCAGTCTAAGAATAGGTAGAGTAGTAACACTTATTGAATAGAATAGTTTCTTTAGATGCTTTAGAGAAGTGAATATCAACATTAACATTTAATTACAGAATTGTGGAAAATCAAAATATGTATGAAATAATATAATAATATATAATAATATAACACTAAACTTTGGCTCTGTGTCCTAGTCCAGTCCAGTCCTCACAATATTAGTATGGTTTCATAGCACCTGTAAATTACAGAACAGTATTATTCATTTAATCTGCAGCATTGGGCCCATCAGTCTAAAAGGCTCAGCCAGATTCCATCTTTTACTTTTCAAATATAGAATACTATTTATTCCATGGCTTGGCTGAATACTTGATGGGTATTGTTTATACCTTTGGCATTTATCAAACATAATAAGTGTTATTTCACTCTAATTTTTGTCAGGTACAAAGTCACAGAGCAGCTCTGGAAGTTGCTGCCGATCAAGACAAGCGAGCATATTAACACAAGAGAAGACAAGTTTACCTGCTTACTGATCACGCAATTCACTCTCAAGGTGTTTGTTTTCTCTTTCTGTGCCATACAGCTACGCCTGTAGCTGGTTATCTTAGCTTAGCATGAAGAGTGTTTTTGCAAATGTTAATGCGTCTCAAACTCTTCTGGAGTTCTATGAAGAGCCACATTCTGGAAAGTTCTTTGAAGTGACCAGCTGATGCTGAAGTGACAGGTTCAAGATGTATTATTGATAACATTGCATAGGTCAGTATTAAATGCGTATGTTTAAACTTTCTCTGGCCCTTTTGGGGGATTCAAGTTCATGAGAGGGTGCCTTAGATCAGTGGAGTTCCCCATGGCTCTATTCAGGGGCCATTGCTGTTTTGCCTGTTGCCACCGATTCACCTTGAACACGGACAAAACCTTGATTTTTATTGTAATACACACATTCTCTGATTCTTTTAGTATCCTGCGACTTGACCCCCTACCGGATTTATAAATTATAGCGAAGCATGACACTACAGTAAACATCCTATTAATTTGCGCTAAACCAAAGTGTGAAAGATTCAATCTTTCAGGAACTTGCAAACTCTTATGTGCATTTGTCACATCCTGTCTCACTGTGTAGCTGCCTGAGCTAACCAGAACTGTCTTCAGTTAGTTCAGAACCCTACCGCCAGACTGACTCAGAATCAGGGAAACATACAGTTTTAGTTATTCTGCCAAAAAATATTTAGGCGTGCATGCCAGGGACCACGAATAAATCGAACTCTGGACTTTTGGAGGTCTGAAGGACTAGATTGAAGGTGATCATGCTTTTCTGCAAGGCCCCGAAGCAGATCAGTTTACGAAAATGAAGTGAACCAGATCTCCTTTGGAATCCCTTCTGAAGACACACTTGCTTCTTTGAATACATGTTTTTAAATAGACTTTTTATTGTCAAAGATTTTAGTTTCATTTTATTTTGTGTATGTTTTTTAATTGTGTCTTTTACTGCATTTGCTATTTTTTTTGTTTATTCATACATTTTTTCTATTTATCTAAAACACTTTATAAGTGCTTGTTATTATTATTATTGGTGCCTGTTGGCTCCCATGGGAACTCCATCAGAATCAGAACGTTTAATTGCAAAAGTATGTTGCACATACAAGGAATTTAAAACTTGTGCTCACTTGCATGGACCTCATATGAGTTTTGTAGGTTTTGTCGTTACCACACAAAGGGAGCGATATTGACTTGACGGAGAGTTAGGCTGCCTTCATTACGCTGATCAAACATTAGTGTGTAATCATCAGTCAGACTACAGTGAAGTCTGAATGATTCTATTTCATGCTTTGCCACAGTTTAAGGATCCAATAGAAATACCAAAATATGTATTGTTTGAATGAGGCCCAGATGAAGAAGTGAGGAATGCCCTCTGCTTGTGGTTGAAAGAAAACCAGAGAGCACTAATGGGAGTTAAGCCGCTTCAGTCTGGGTTTGGGCTTACTCCTCAGTGTTGTTTGCAGCGTATGAATTCCACATTTAGCTTGAACACATTTCTAATGCGATGATGAATGCACCACATATGTGTAGTAAAGAGAAAAAAGAAGATGGTTTATCCAAATTACAATATGTGTGTCCTCATTGTTACTCAATGGCTGGACTTTCGGCATGGTTGATCAGACTATATACAGGTTACTGTGATTTTTAATGGTCAGTCTTTTCTTAGACTTGTTTCACAATAGACATGCAGTATGTCATATTGACAATGAAACTGCAATATTCATGCACCGACCTATTTTGTTAACTGGTTGTGTTGCCAATATCAACCAAGTCAATGTTCCTGATTCAGTATGTTTGCAAATTGCAAATATACATTTTTGATGATTAGATTATAATTAAATTGTTTATATCCAGAAATTATCAGTATGATTATTATTATTATTATTATTATTATTTATAGTAGTATTATTATTGCTATTTTTGTTATTATTATTATATTTAATGTTATCATTGTTATTTAACAATCAGCCATAAACCAATAAATCTGTAGCCTAAAAGAAAAGGCATCTTTCTTTCTTTTTGACTATTACAAACACACACACACACACACACACACGCACACACACACACACACCATGCCTGTCACACTGAGCCAGTCATCCTGTAATGGCTGCCACTGCTCATTGTTCACATCCTGCTTTGTCTTCAGCGCCATTTTGACTCTGTGGAAGGAGGAGCAGCTAGTTAGCATCACACACACACACACTAATGGCAGCCATGCTAACTCATGGGTTGCTCCATGGTCACCCTGGCAGCTTACTGGTGGGAGAGAATCTGCAATGCCAAGCTAGAGTCAGCTTCCATGCTCGTAAACTACACATAGAGCGTGAGTTGTGCTGCTCTGGGGTCAGCTCTGGGGTCTCACACGTTCTAAGTGAAAGGCTGCTATGGAAGCTGCCTCTGGTGTGCTATGCTAACCATTAGCTCCTTCTCAGCTGAGCTAAGCTGATGCGATGGAGGAAAACAATGACCCAGCCTGGCCTCAGACCGTTTCTCCTGTTTTTATCTGCTCTGGAAAAATACCTCATTCTAGGGTTATCTCTGTGTAAACACCAGCTGAACCATACTGGGCCATGCCAGGCTATATATCAGGCTATATAGTTATGTGGTGGATGATAGTGTGGGGGGGGGACTACAGGGAGCCACGCATTAACACTTAAAAATAATCTGCATTCAGTCCACATTATGAGTTAAAATTAAAATGCATATTAGAAGATTAAAATATGATCAAAATTACACATTGTTTAGTAAAATGACAACCTGAACCTTAATAATTATAAAAGATTTATAAAAAGGGAATTATAGGCTTATAATGAATTGCAATGTATAAATATAGCATGGGAATTATTTATACTATATAAAATAGCAGATAAAAAATATTACACTCGTATAACAGCAACAAAATAATAAAGAAGAAAACAATGAATGGTCAAATATGCTGCTAAATGTTCACTTTGTATTATACTTGGTGTAATACAAATTGCACTGAATTCTTATTTTGAATGCTGCATGTATCCACATCATTATTATAAAGGCCATTCAGCACCTCTGGAATTCATAAAACAAAACGACATGGGCCACATCTTAAATGTTTGTGGGTTTTTTTTTATTATTATTCCACTATGAAAATATATGTACAATAAATAATTTGGATTTTCACTATTAAAGAATTTCAATAAATAAACTAGGGTCTAAAACTCGGGTCATCAGCAGGACTTCTCTCTCTGGTCTTGTCTCGTTCAGAGAGAGAGAAAGAATTCATTCTTCAGTTGGGATAGTTTCTAGAAAGCAGTCCAGCTATCTGCACCTTTAGACTCCGTGAACAGTTCCTGAGAAGTTATTAAGGATCCATGAAGCTGCACCAGAATGTAAGAGATGAAATAAATCCACACATACTGATGAGGTAAATCAGTACAAAACAAAAAACAAGAAAGGCAATAAATACCTGAACAAGGGGAGAGAGAAAAATCCACAAAGTTTCGATCGTGGAAAAGCAAAAATAAAAAATAAAAATCCCTTCGATGTTTAAAATGTAAAAAGAAAATGAAATAAAATGAACTGCAACTCTCTTAAACTAGGTAGGCTACAGTCGTAAAATAAAACCAGGAAGAAGACGAAAAAATAGATTTAAAAAAGGAACATCATTTTAGTTCAGAAATGTTTCAGGAATGTTGCCGAGAAGCTTGCAGTGCCGTCTCCTCCGCTCGATTGCTCGTCCACGCTCTCCGTCCGCTCCTTAGTTCTTTGTAGTTTTATGTTTCTCAGAAGTTCAGGTGCTGCAGGTCTATGGTGCACAGTGTGCTCGTGAACAGGTCGAAGTCCTCCTCGGAGAAATCCACCGGGCTATCCAGGGAGCTCTGCAGGCTTGGCGACAGGCAGGCGTCCCCGGAAAAGAAGGCCAGGTCGGGGAGCGATGTCGAGGCGGCGGCGGCGGCGGCAGCAGAGGACGAGGTCGAGGAGACGGAGGAGTCCCGCTGCTCGGAGAACGACGGGTCGGACGCTGCCTCTGCGAGCCCGGCCTCGCCGAGCTGCATCAGGCCCGGGATATCCGCGGTGAACGTTGGCGGAGAGTGGCGAGCCGCGGAAGCGTCGGAGGAGCCAGATGCTCCCGGCAACGGTGGGCGTTCGGGGCGGCTCGGTCGGCCTCCTTTCTCCGGCGTGGGTTGTGCATTGTCCCCGCTGTCATTAGCGTAGGCGGCCGAAGATGGATTGCAGCTCCCCGCCTCGCTGTCCGACTCAGCCTCCCCAGTGCCAGATGCTTCCAGCGGCTGGCTCGAGTACGGAGACGAGGCGTCGGCGCCTTCGAGCGGCTCGAACTCGCCGGATTCGTGGCCTCCGCCGTCCCGGTGGTGCGTCGTTTGGCGCTTGTGTTTCATCCGCCGGTTCTGGAACCAGACTTTGACCTGCCGCTCGGTCAGATCCAGGAGGGCGGCGATCTCCACCCTCCTAGGCCGGCACAGGTACTTGTTGAAGTGGAACTCCTTCTCCAGCTCCAGCAGCTGCGTGTTGGTGTAGGCGGTGCGCAGCCGGCGGGACCCGGCTCCTCCACCATCCAGACTCGCCTGGCTCGAGTCTGCAGAAGACAAATCAAACGGAGAGCGGAATTACGTGGAGGATTTATTGTGTGTGATCTAAAAAAGCTATCCTCGTTAATTCTTTATTTAAATTTTATATTTCGTTTAAACTATTTCTGGAGAGCCCCGTAAAAGCGCTACATATTTTTATTGCGTGCAGGGTTTCCAGCCAAGAAATAAGCTGCTTCAGCACCGAGCAGAAATCCACTCCGCTCTAATAAAAAATAATAAAACATGAAAAAGTCTCATAAAAAAATACTCCTCCCATTTACAGTAGCAGCCAAAGCCATAACTGTAAGAGCGGACCATTTTGTTGGTTGGTAAAAATAATCATAATAATAAAAAGTTAGATAAAGACAGATGATCATAAAGTCAAAGAGGGGTTCTCTCTTCTGTAAAGCTGTGAGGCGGCTGCAGCACGAGCTGATAGAAGTGCAAAGAGAGAAGGGAAAATAAATAAATCACCGGACAGGGAGGAAATGTGGGGATGTCCACGTGAAACCGATGTGGCGGGAACATAACAAAAACATCATAAATGTTTTTTTTGTGAATGAGATGCAGGAAAAAAATAAAAGCAGGAAATTGGGAGAGAAATGAGCTAGAGGGGAAAAAGAAATTCCACTAAAATGAACGGGGGTGGGATTTTGTGTTTAGAGGAAAAAGAGGGGGGGGGGGGGGGTAACACATGCAGTGATTGCTGTGGAAGTCGGTTTTAAAAGACAGAAATGAGGTAGACCCATGAAGATCAGATTGTGTGCAGCCTGTATTCTGTGTAGGATGTAGCTTATACCC